CGCTCGAAGAACCACTAGAGAACAAACACTTTTAAAACATCCCTTGTGAATTTGGATTCCAATATACTGGAAAAAAAAACACCAACAAAACCCGTGATGCTGGTTCTACCTGCAACAGCCTATCATGTCAGAGACCATACTATAAATTGGAAGAATACTAAAATAAAAGGATATGAGCCACACACGGGAAAATTGAAGATAAAAGAAGCCTTCTACATTCACCTAACTGATAACACACTCAGTCAACATAACACAGGAGTCAACAAAACCTGGATAACCCTCTTGAAAGTTTCAAATAACTGATTCAATTTCTAGTCGTGGAGACGGTAGATTCCTGACAAATGCATAGCACAATAACCTTTCAATGAATAAGACCAAGAATCGAATACCGGTCACTACTAACACAAAAACAATCGATATCCAATCGCCACCACCTCACCGTGAGTACTTGAATGCGGTTATGTGTTTACGATGTAACTGAAAGCTCAAAAACTTGGTAGAATATAATCCACTATATATTACGAAGTATTTTAAGTATAAAAATGGAAACTAAATTGATTACATTGTTATCTTGTTTTTAAAACTCGTCTACTTTTAAATAATAATCAATCAATTGGAAGACCCGTCATAACTGAAAGTGTGTTTGGTACACAGCGTCGAGAAAAAACAAAAAAAAACAGTAAAAATGCCAATTTGTTCATTGTTTGTTTGAAGTTATGCAAAAAGCTACACAATGGGCTATCTGTGCTCTGCCCACCACGGGTATCGAAACCCGGTTTCTAGCGTTGTAAGTCCGCAGACATTTCGCTGTGCCACTGAGTGGCCCAATTTGTTCAGTAGAGACCCAAGCGGCGGAAAAAAAAGAGATGTTTCTAATAAGCATCATTCAAATGATATAACTGATGCAACATTTTGTTTGTATATTGTTTAAAGTTGATTCGGTCTTCAATTTACAGTGCTCTCTTTACAAATATTTATCTTATGCTCCAACTGGGTAGAAGAGTAGGACAGTAACATTCAGTGGCTTTAAATTTTTTATTTTTTTTACTTGACCCAAACAAACCGTGGAAATGTAGTAGTTCACAACAATTTATTTTTTATGAAATCGCAAAATTAATTATAGCAATATTACATCTCAGGAAATGTTCACTTTCAATAATATTTATTATATGTACTCAATTCTTCGTAAATACTATAAGAAGTACGAACATAAAAATTACAGAGGTGGTGTTGAAAGAGTAATTATTTAACTGATGATCATATTTCAATAGCAAAAACAAATAACCTATAAATGTTAATATTAATCAATAAGAAATGTGCAAACAACCAAAAAAATATCTTCAATTTGCCCAACAACATTCATTATTGAAATATTAGAGCATATACAAACAAATTAGACTTCACAAAAAGGCTTATCTTTCAAACCATTCTCTTGACCACAATAACACGCTGTTTGTGTTGTTTTTTAATCTCCAACGTGCTTTAAGTTAGACCAGATAGCAATAAGAAAACGGTGCACTACTTTTAATAACGAAAAAGGAGGCCATCTTATCAACTGGTAAAAGGGAAAAACAAACGTAACTGAACAAATGAAAAAATATTAATTCTGGTTTCCATAGTAGCAGTATGAGAACATGTTCTAATTGCCCCCCCCCCGTAGATATTTTTCAGTATTTTGTTATGAACAAAAGCAAACTATATACAATGATCTTTGATTATATCAATGTTGGTAGCAATATATTAATAAACTATTGGTTCAAACAGGTATAACAATTGATTAATTCTAGGCTATTAACTTATTAAATGTTATTAATATTAATATTATTGATTGTTTATTTGTTTATAATTAAGCACAAAGCTACACAATGGACTATCTGTGTTCTGCCCACCACTGGTATCGAAACCCGGTTTTTAGCGTTGTAAGTCTGCAGACGTACCGCTGTGCCACTGAGAGGCATTTAATATTATTAAGTAGAGAACACATAGGTTAGATTGCGAAGGCTCATCACAGCTTATATTTTACTAATATATCTAAACACATAATTAAGTCACAACTTTACGCACAGAAAAAATCTCGCAGTTTTTAATGATCAAAACGTCAACGCAAATCGATAATAGCGACTTTTCACAGATCGAATGCCAAAATAAACATATGTTTTTGCAAATACATGAATATTCGTCCTTATTTAATAACCTTGACAACCAAGACTTTACTCAAGAACTAAGATATGCTGATTAGGGTAGAAGCACGATCAGTGTGAAACTAAACATGTTGATATTGGATTGGCATTTAACCTTTCTCGTAACAACCTTGATACCACATTGATATGTAAATTATAAAAAGGGTTATCACTCGTTATTTTTGGATAACTTTCATTAATAATTACTTTCGTTAAGTACCGATTTACCATGCATCTAAAAGTTTGGAGAAGAGAAAAAACGACGCCCCAAGTAACAAGTTTTTTTCCAGAATAGAGAAACAACAGATGTTATTTTAAAAGTACTGACAACACGAAACACATTTTCAAATAGTTTGGCAACACTCAGTCATTTGGAAGACTAACAACACGAAATACTTTAAGGAATAGAATAGCAACTCTCAGTCATTTAGAAACCTACTAATAAGAAAACATTCTGAAATAGTGTAGCAACACAAAATACTTTATGGAACAATCAGTCATTTAGAAAACCACCAACACGAAAACTTTCTGAAATAGTGTAGCAACACAAAATACTTTATGGAACAATCAGTCATTTAGAAAACCACCAACACGAAAACTTTCTGAAATAGTGTAGCAACACAAAATACTTTATGGAACAATCAGTCATTTAGAAAACCACCAACACGAAAACTTTCTGAAATAGAGTTGCAACACAAAATACTTTATGGAACAATCAGTCATTTAGAAAACCACCAGCACGAAAACTTTCTGAAATAGTGGAGTCAGATGTGGCCTAGTGGTTTATATGCTCGGTCTGTGGATTCTGTGATCCATTTCTTACGTGTCGTCTTCTCGATAAGGTGCTCCAAACTTTGAAACCATACGCAAGCTATAAAAAGTGACAGTCAAATCCCGTTATTCGGGCAGCCAAAACAGTCCAAAAGTTACTTTGTCTTTCTTCACTTTGGCTAAAAAAACGTGAGAAAGTTTTAGTTATTATGAAAAACTCGAAATATAAGAGATCGTCGGAAAGATCATTTTTCTTAGTATTACCTTAAAATACCTGGTATATTTACTGACGTCATCATGATATGTTGGTCTTAAACCATTAACCAGATGTTGATATTAAACACATCAGTCCAGTGAATGGGTTGCATATAGCTAAAAGTAAATTATTTTTGAAAAACTTGCACATACTAAATGTTAATATATTTAAATGCATATAAGTAGCGCCAGTTAATAAAGATGCAATAATAAACGCATTTAAATTGGGTCGATAAAAACGCTTTCAGGTTCTATGTAAGTGTAGTCCAACTTCTATTCATCCCACTAGAAATGCAAACAGTAGGGGCATATCACTCACTTTTATAGCACTAAGAAGGTATGAGTGCATGGCCACCATCAAGTTTGGACCTTGCATTTTTTGAATGGTATTACATAAAACAAGATACAATAATTACACAGCTTATATTTCATTTTCTGACTTCTCTTAATACTTTGTCTATCTCACATCCTTTCCCATTTAAAAAAGCCATCTTGAATTTTTTTTCATATGAATAATTAGCATACTTCATTCATAGCATCTCAACACACTATCGAATGATTTCTTGGTCTTTGCTCCTTTACATTTACTATGTCACCACTTCATCACACTGTTTGTATCCAGGATCGAGGATGGATATTGTATACTCTGTACAAATACCCACTGTGTGACTCAATATACTGTTGCTGGTAAAACCTGAGGGATCAATCACCATTAATAAAATAAGGATGGAGTTTCCCCCTCCCTGTGTAAATCGTGCCAATGTTTTTCTTTGAAATCCCCTAATAATGTTTATTTCACACCTTCACCACAGTCTTTAGATAACATCCTGAAATTTGCAATTTTATCACTACTTCCCAGGACTTTTATTTTTTTCAAATTTCTTACAAAACTGTCTTATCAAATATTTGTACTATTTTTAACTCTTTTCCTAGTTTACCTTCATTACACTTCTTCCCAGTATCTTTATCCACTTCCTTCTTCATGCATACTATCTCCTCACTTATTCCCTTTCTACTTCTTTACACATACTATCTCATCACTTCTTAACACTGTCTTTATCAACTTCTTTACATACACCATCTCATCACTTCTTCACATTGTCCCTTTTTATCTCTTTACACATACTATCTCATCACTTCTTAACACTGTCTTTATCAACTTCTTTACATACACCATCTCATCACTTCTTCACATTGTCCCTTTTTATTTCTTTACACATACTATCTCATCACTTCTTAACACTGTCTTTATCAACTTCTTTACATACACCATCTCATCACTTCTTCACATTGTCCCTTTTTATTTCTTTACACTCACACACCATCTCATCATTTTTTCATGCTGTTTGACCATCTATACTTCCTAACATCAACTATTCAACCAAGTATAACAAACACAAAAGGAAGTAAATTCTTGTAAAGAATTATGAGTTAACTAGTTACACGATTTCTGCATATTGTTAACAAAGTCAAAGACCCAGTAATGGATGTACATATTTTAACACTAAATACAATGTGTTGTATATTACTATCCTACAACAGGACTTGTAAACTTATTAAAAAGTCACATGAAAATACTTCTCTCATAATATAATAATAATGAAAAACTATATAACTCACAGTGCATTAAGTATTTTAAGAGGGATAGAAGTCTATAGATGTTGTTGTTGTTTATTAAGAAGTACAAAGCTACACAAAGGGCTATTTGTGCTCTGCCCACCACAGGTATCAAAACCCAGTTTCTAAGAGTATAAGTCTACAGACATACCACTGTGTCACTTGGCAGTATATAGATAGATAAAACAGTATCTACTTCCAGTATCAAAATATAACAACACACATTTGAGATACATGACACAAAGTAATTGGAGCACATAAAATAGAAAGAAAAATTTCAGTTAATCTGCCATAAACAGAGGATGGTACCACCAAAAACAAAGTATGAAATCAAAAATCATTAGATTAAAAACAAATCAATCTTTAAATGTCTATTCAACTTCAATTTCTCAGAGAGAAATATTTAATTTTACTTCTCTTTCTGCTAAAACTTGCTTTTACAAATCTGAACAAAATCTTTTAAATTTTCTACAGAAAAAAAAACAAGAACTATTCCACCTACCACAAATGGAAAATATTTTTTCAGTACAGAATCATGATAAAGTATGTCTGGTATTTTATTTTGTGGAACAGTTTTATCTACATTCTTTTTCACTCATAATCTATTCATCTTTCATGAATAATCAACTAATATAAAAGTTGTATAAAGTTGACAAGATGCAAGATTAGTGATATAAACATTTTTAAAGGAAATCACAAGTTTTACAGACCTGTTTTCATTTATTTTATTTGAATACAAAAATATACATATGGATTTATTTACTAAATTTGATTTTGATTAAATTGCAAGAAAGTGCACATATAAATGACAAAAATGTTTTTGAAGAATAATAATGTTGCATTAAACTATTTATCATGATGGTTTAAATGCACTTGCTAAAATTTATTTTAAATCCGTACTCCCTCTTGTAACCTCAGTAACGAGTGAAAGAAAATATAAATGCAAAACTACAAAAACAAGACACTATAACAAACAGTAAGGTTTCTAACTTTTTAACACTGATGGAATTTCAAAATTATACTTACATATAAAATCACATGCATAATTTTCATTATGGATTTTTTTTGTACAAGATGAAAAACATTTTAACAATAAACTCATGCACAATAAGAAATAACGAATTAAAACTAAAAAATTTAAAACAAGCTCAAGTGATTTATTGATGTACATTACTTACAGCATCACTTATATAATTTTTAATGTAATTATTGTAACCTATAGCATTACCAAACATAGTAAGATCTCTTCATACATAATCATTAATCACTTATGCAAACATGATTTTACATATTGTAACAACCTATCACTAAAATTGCTTAAAACCTGTCATATACATTGATGATTAAAGTTAGACCACCTATAAGCTTATATTCAAACAATACTAATAATATAAATTTCAATTTCTGATATATTAATTCAAAAAATATCTTTTATAAATCACACAAGTTGAAAGCAGTAAACAGTAATGTATAAGAAATAACATAAACAGTCAAGATTCTTTAATTTATCTTTAACATCAAAGATTTTTGTTGTTGTATATTATTTGCAAAATCTAGCAAAGTGCCTACTTTTACACTTAATGCAATACATTTACCTGTTAGCACTATCTTTACTTATAAAGTGGAAAATATATTCATAATTATGTTTTAAGCTAAACTTTTGTTACTGACCAGCATGTTTACGTATAATGGTCACTACATGCTGGAGGTTTACTTATTCTTGCATTTTGTTCGTAAAATGTTATTTCTATACACTTTTTTGTTAGATATTGGTCACTAAATTCTAATAGTATATTTATTATTATATTTTTTTCTCCAAAATTTTTATTCACCTACATGTTCATATTGGTCATTGTATTTTTGTAATATATTTATCATTAGATAGTTCTCTCCAAAACTATATTTTATTCACTCACAAGTTCATATTGGACACAACATGCTGGTGATATATTCACAATCACATACTCCTTAATTCATGATACTTTAATCCCTAAGATTATATTGGGTAATACACCTACATCTATGAAGCTTAAGATCTTTGCAAGAATGTGCCCAAGATATTATAAAATAAATAATATAAAATGTAAGTATTCCTAACTTCTCTAGATTTAGAATACAATATTCCTTCTACAGGTAATGCCACATATTAAATCATCTAAAAACATAATCATAAAAGTGGTATGTTAGCCAACACTTTTACAAATTTTTGACTTCAGTACCTTAACAGACACAAAAATATTAGTTTCACAAAGAGAATTCACATATAAAATTGAAATTCCAATTTTAAAAGTAAAACAAAATGCATGTTACTTTAATTTTTCAAACAAATAATACACAACCATGGCATTTAAAGATGTGGAGTGGATCAGTTGGTTTATGCAAAACATTGTAGATGACTTTCTGAGGGATAACTCATGCCTGTAATAGAAGGTTATCTATAACCTTATAGATATGAAATAATTCAAGAGACTGCATGCAACCTAAATATACCTGATGCAAAATGTAAAACTTTCATATGGATAACTTAACTATGTTACAGGAGGTTACAGATAACCTTCTAGATCTGTCTGATGCAATATATAGAACTTTCATATGGATAACTTAACTATTTTACAGGAGGCTACAGATAACCTTCTAGATCTGTCTGATGCAATATGTAGAACTTTCATATAGATAACTTAACTATGTTAAATGAAGCTATAGATAACCTTCTAGATCTGTCTGATAGAAGTTGTAGAACCTACAAATGGATAACTTAACTATGTTACAGGATGCTACAGATAATCTTCTAAATCTGTCTGATACAAGAAGTGTATGCCTCTGTTGAATAACTTATGTCATAGGACATAGTAGATAACTTTTAGATATGGTTTGATGGAATACAATGAAGAACTTTCAATTTGATTACATAAGTGTAAAGCAAAATATTACAGAATATATTTCACAGATGTTCATGTCAGATAAGATCTTCTGGATAATGGTGTAACATTTTAGGTTGCAAATAGCCTAAGTAGATCCAGGGAAAAAAATTTTAAATGGTCTTTTTCCTATCTCATCTCAAGATCTGATGCCTACTTACAATCTACCAGGCAGTCCCCATAGCAAGAGAATTATCAAAATTTATATTTGCATAAAAAACAAATTGTTGTCTTTAACTGTGTGTGTTTATTATATTATTAAAATGTTCACAGACCACTGGGTTACTCAAATCTTTTTTGATGAATTTGTTTTTATGTGATATACTTTATTCAATTAGAAAGTAAATTATATTCCATGCCCATGCACTTTTATCATTTTATCTCCTATGGAAGAATTTACATTACGGCATTGCTACACTTGTTACTTTATCCAAAATGTTCCGTAACTTCATCATATATTTGACTGAACAAAATATCTGTGTCTTCCAAACAGTAAGTTAGAGCCATGAGAATGGTGCTTATGAATCAAAAACTAATACTGTTAAATACGCATTTCTTTGTTATTAGACTTTCACATAAATTGAATACTTTGATATGAAGAATGGACTACTTATGGAAGGAGAAACAAGCTATCATCCCTTACACTATCTGTTTGGCACAACACTTCACTGACTATCTTTGTTAAGTCTCAATCATCATCAGTGATGAAAAATACACTTACATATATATCCCCCAATTAATAAAAACAAATACCTGATTATATAAATATATACACATACACACAAATCGTTTAAATATATCTTACCATAAAGAAACAAAGTGATGGGTTGGTTCTTCAAATTTTATCCCAATTTTTAGATGAGAGACAAAAATTACTTCTAACATAGTCTTCATGTTCATAACTGAATCTATAAGACACCTTAAATGTTAGTACCTCTGTTGACCATTATCTTATTATATTTGATGAGAACATTAAAAATTCCTGAGCCAACCAATAACACAAAAATATAACGATTTTCTATGACAATTATCAGCCTTTCTTTAATCAATTTTAATTAAAAACCTAAACTATAAAAAGTAGGTAACAGCAATCATTGATATGGGAGTGGTTGTCTTCAACTAGCTCAATCCTCCATCTCACTTCACATGTCTTGCCTTGACTAAAAGGAGCACAAGAAAGACAACTCATCTTGCCTTTACAGCCAATCATGATTTAAGAAGAAAAAACTATTACTAAGTCCTTACTAACATTCCAAAGAAAGTCTGGGCCGCGACTTGGCCCGTCTCTGTGCCAGCTCCGATGCTGCTACTGGCTCCAGATTAGGTGGTTTTGGAAACTGATTAATAGCTCGGAATGTTGCAGCCACGGCACCCTGTTGATGGAATAGCAAAATATATGTATGAAGTGAGAATACAGTTAAACCAAACCCATTTAAAAAGATACTAATTAAGAATTGTATTTAGTATTAATGTACAAAATTCCCATGTTGGAAAAAAAGGAAATTTCTGTAGCCTTACTGAATGTGATTAAATGACATGTGTAACTGTATAGGTAAATCATAACAATTAATAATACAAAGATTCAAGTACGGACTTTTGTTACAGCACTGAAACTGTATATCAGTGAAATCATGTGCTGCCACACTAGTATCCATAAAATCACCAACATCATGTCCACTACACAGGTGTTTATAGTCATATGTATCAAGTGGGACTAAATACATTTTTTTTTTAAATGAGTGATATCACTACACATTCTCACATTATCATGTGATGGCAAAAGCTCCAAGCAAATCTGAGGAATACTGGTTTGAGGACTGACAAATATATCCCTGCTTCTTGCCTTTCCACCAAATTCTCATCAAGTCTGCATCACTCTGATGATAGACATTAAAAATGTCAAATACAGGTACATAAAAAAAAAACTCACTGTAACAAAATTTCGTTTGTTCTCCTAATTCTTCCTGTGAACGCAATCAAAAATTCAAAAGTTACACATGTAAAACGGTTTGTAAATAACTAAAATACTTAATGATACAACCAACTTCATCTCACCTATTTTGAGACATCAGTTACACTAAAATTTCATGGATTGGTGTAACAAACCAAGCAAAATGTGAAATTTGTATAAATATAGTTGTGCTATCTTTGGAAGCTGTCCTTTGACTATCTTATATCACATACCACTAACAGCGTTAAATGAATCAATCTTTAGGATAGTTGCTACACTGGTTTGTAAAATTAGTTATATCAGACAGAAAACTGCTTGGTTACACATTTTAGTGTTTCACTAACTGCAAGCAGTAAACTTAGATTAAAATTAAAAGCATAGTTTTAAAACATAATTCTATTAGAATTCAAATTAAGCAAGATAAATTAGAAACTAATTACCCATCAAATATAAATTTTCATACTTTCTTTAAGCTTGCATATTTGAGTTTACTGAAATAAATAAATGTATTATAGGTCTACTACAGTGATTTTTCTTCAAATAAAAGGTATTCAAAAGTAACGCAGTAACAAATTTGAAAGTCTGTACCATAGTGTCGAAAATGGTAGCTTTGTATTTGTAGCAGCAGAATTAACATTGTACTTATAGGAAAATTCTGTATATGGTGATAGCTGTTTATTGAAATTAATATGAAAGATGAGAAATATTTTTACCTTATTTTGTTTCTACTACTGTTTCATTTTTGTTATTCATTCAAAACTACTTCAGTGCAAAGAAAAATAATATCTCCTATTCTGGCTGTGTGTGAAAAAATACAATGTGTAATCTAAAGAGATTAAGAAGCAAGGGCAAGTTAGCCTTGATTATGCAGTTCCCCCAACAGAAAAATGTCCATTGGAAATAAACTTATAAATAAGTTGCCAGATGTGATTATAGGTCTCAGTTCTATTATGACTGGTGCAATTAAACTAAATCATGCATAATTTCAGTGATTTTTATGATACATAAAAAAATCACATAACTAAATACAGACAGGTATTGAATATCTGCTGCAACTAACTTGGTTATTTGGAAGATGTCCTGTAAAATGATAAAACTTAACATGTACAATTTTCTACAGTTTACCATCTGAATTGGCTATGGGATATACAAGTTTCATCCCAAATTTTCTAACCAGATTACTGACATTGAATCAAAATCCTAAAAATTCACCTTCAATTCCATTTAAAGAGACAAAACATTGTGTATACCTTAACTAAGGAAGCATCTTGATGATACAATCTGCTGTTAGGCAACTGGTTCCTATTTGTAATCCACACATGACTCAAAATGTCAGCAGCTCTATATCGTTGTTTTGGATCCACATGCAACATTTTCTGAACAAGATGCTGAAAAAATGTAACGGTGTTACCTTGGGTTGATGAAGTCCACATATTTATATACATTAAATCTTGCATTAATTAATTACAACTAAAAGTTACTATAATTTAGATGAACGATTTTGGTTCCTGTTTGAATTTGATAACATCTACCTCACTAGATGAAGAGCTTCACGACCTTTGGTACTGATGGATATTCAACTCACCAGATAATACCTATCTCCACACAACAAACTGTGCTATTCCTTTCGTACTGACATGATATTCAACTCACCAGTTAACACACTATGTTGACATAACACAATGTACTATCTTTAGAAATGATGTAATATTCAACTCATCCAATAACACCCTATCTCTACATAAAAGACTCTTAGTCTTACAACACAGGCCTGTAAATTTAAACTCCATAAAAGTTGTTTTGGTTTTAATAACAGATTTTCCATAATTCAGCTACGCAAGTTTCAAAAATAATATTAATTGTTTTTCTATCACGTAAGGATTTTTTTTACAAATCAGGGAAAAAAAACCTCTTACCAAGATCAATTATTATTTTGTTTACCACAATGAACATTTTTATTATCATGTTTGTTAACAAAAATACAAAAAAACTGAAGAAAATGGAAGAACATTTATGTCAAACAAATGTGCACCCTCATTCAACCTGATTTTTTGTGTGAAATCCACTTTTTTTTAGTCTCAAAACTATGTGTGGTGGTCTTTCTTTTATGTATTGTATCTGGAGCATCTCCTTCAAATGACCAGCAGTAATCAGCCATCATGCTGATGTTACACCTTCCCTGATACCTCCTCTCCATTTCCCTGATGTCTTGATGAAACCTTTCCCTTTGTTCTTCGCTGACGACACCAAGATTTTCAGGGAATAGTCAATATGTGAGTGTAAGAAATGAACTTTCAAGCTCATATTACAACCCAAATCTTTGAATTTATTAAGCATGTTATTGACAGTATTTTCATAATTTGGGTCCTTGTCATTTCCTAAAAATTTGTCAATAACATCTTTAAAGGAAATCACACTTCTTTTTCAACTTTCTTCATTATCCTTTCAAACTGTTCATCCGAAGTCAATATCCTAATCTGAGGCTCAACAAAAATCCTTTCTTTGAGTTTCACTTCTGAAAGAGCTGGGAATTGCCCACAAAGATACTTGAAATAGTCGCCATCTTTGACTAAGGCCGTTACAAAGTTTTATGTGAAGTGAAGGAAATAGGACTTTCTTTGTGTGAAACAAACTTTCATGTTCAATGTTTTTCGATCCTGGAATCAGGCTGACTCTGCATGGCTACTGCTTCTATATCCAGTGCTGATTTTGTGCTTTGCTGTCCCATTCACATAAAAAACAACAGAATTTTGTATAACCGGATTGTTGACCTAACAACATACAAAGGACTTTTAAGTCTCTACAAAGTAGCCAACCATGTTCTTTGTAGTTTACCTTATTTGGAAGAAGTTTGAGATTTTTGTATGTTTCCTTCAAGTGAACCAAATGAGCATTAGGAACTGATGCATATATGTTACCATGACAAAACGTTGTACATTTACTGTTATGTTAAACTTATATTAAAGTTTTTTTCATTACCCATTCAAGCCATCTCCAAGCACTATAGTTAGTTGTTGTCAACATTTTAAGCATAACAAAATGTGACCCGATTTCAATGAAAATGATTCACTTGTAAGTGCACATATGAAATTTTGTGGAAAATCTGTACGTGATGGATTAAAATGGATATCATTTTCGGATCCAGCATACAGAAATTACAGTACAACATGTTAAATTTCAAGACAATAAAACCATCGCAGGCCTGTGTAATCTATCTTTGACACTGGTATAGTGTTCAGCTTGCCAGATAACACATATTTTCAAACTAATTACACAACAGACGGTACTATTTATCTTGTGTATGGGTGTGATATTCAACTCAGAACTAACATCTTATTTACGTATTGTCACTACATATCTACACAACAGACGGTACTATTTATCTTGTGTATGGGTGTGATGTTCAACTCAGAACTAACATCTTATTTACGTATTGTCACTACATATCTACACAACAGACGGTACATCATGGGTGCAATGTTCAACTTCAAATATAACACCTTATCTATATACATCTTTCCATATCAGTCTAATATCTACCTTTGCAGCTGGAGTAATGTTTGACCAATTTCCATAAGTCACCTGAAACTTTCCTTCTCCAATTCTATGAAGAATATCATTAGGTGTATCATGAGGCCCATTTGCAAAGGGAGTATGACTGAAAATATTCGTCAAAATGGTTTCAATAAATAAGTTGTATAAGAATGACAACATAAACAAAAATATTCTTCTACCTAGATAAAAATTATCACTATTTTCGAAGTTTTTTTTTTTTTCAAGGATTGTTTACGCCCTTGGAAAGTATATTTGAAATATTATTATTCAACTTGAATGCATGGTAATACAATTGAATTTAACAAAACTTTGAAAATATATTTAAATAAATTTAATTACTTTTATGAAAATGAAGCTAAAAGAACGACAAAAACAATTATTTTTAAACACACAAAGATCTTAATTAGCTTAAAAAATATATATGACTTTACAAAAACTTAAGGCTCCATAAAATGGATTGATTCTTAGATTCTAATATATTTTTCAAATTACAAAATTATTAAACCTGAAAACCCCCCCAGTGGCACAGTGGTATGTCTGCAGACTTACAACGCTAGAATCCAGGTTTCATTACCCATGGTGGGCAGAGCACAGATAGCCTATTGTGTAGTTTTGTGCTTAATTACAAAAAAAACCTGAAAACTATTAAAAAGTCGGTGAAACTAGCTCATTTTAAACCAATTAATCCCGCAAATCTAATTTTCTTTAATGTGATTCTTGGCATGCCTTTTTCAGTAAATTACATAGATATGAACATGTTAATTGCAAACTACAAAAACAATTATTCTGTGTTAGCAATAAGCAGCATATCTGTATTTTCAAAAACCATTATTGCCAAATAGAAAATTAATATTTACTGCAGCAAAATGAATAATCAAATTCATCTTTTCACAAAGTAAAAAAAAATGCATCAAAAGTTCTTATCAATTTTATTTATTAGATTAAATCTAAGAATTTTATAATCTGAACCAACATCTGTTCTAATATTTCATTCTTTGATACACAATTCAAAACTATTTATGTGATGAAAATTCAAAGTTTCATGGAAGCAGGACCTCCTCTATAGTTCAGATATTCTACAGAAAGTGTTTTCAAGATATAGAAACTTTCCTTAACAAAAATCTTGCAGATGCAGAGAATATTGAAAACATGCCCTTTAACAGAACTGGAAGATGATACTGATACTTTCAATAAAGTAGATAAACACTGATCCATTTGGTAACTGAAAAACTCAAGACATTTCCAGTTCTGTCTGCTGTAGCTAAGAAGTATTTGCATTTGTGCAATTTTCATAGTCAGCGAGAGAACCTTCAGCACAGATGGCTTCAGAGCAAGCTCAAGGCAACAATATCTTACCCCATCTTACATTGGCATGCTCGTTTTTAACCATATCAATATGATTACGAGAATAACTCAATAAAAATTTACATAAAACCTTTTTCTAACATAAGCAAACCTGCTGCCTAACAATTATCAACAAAAAACAAGATAACCAGTTGATTTTATAATTCTTCATTACTGTTTATTACATATTATGTAATATGAAAATCAAATATGTAATATTCTAATGTTTAATCCATACTTCTGTAATGTTAACTCAATCTATTTGTGATAACAAAAAAAAATACTACTGTTGAATCAAATATTACATAATGTTTCTGTGTTCAAAAATTCTTATCAGTAGTATAGAAATAAAGTACAAAAGAAATGTGAGATTCCAGCAACATGCCACTCAGAATATATGGTCAGTAGGTGAATTTTTTCTCATTATTATTTTTTAAACATTTTATTATTTAAATTTAAACTCTGAAGTTGCAAGTTATATATAAATGGTTTAAATAAAGCTATTTAACAAATGAAGTTCTAATAATAAATTTGAATGTTCTAATGGAAAGAAATTAACCACATCAATTTCAAAAACCAAATCAAAACTTGAAACAAAATACTCACCATGTGAATAATGAAAACAATAAATTTAACTTCTCCAACTTTAACTCTTTGAAAATAAATACTAAATAAAGGGAATTTTACAACAAGCGAATCTTGTGATGGAAAATGATTTAACTAAAAATAAATACAACTATATTAATATATGTATACATTTTAAATTACTTACTGCATTCAAAACTAAATCAAAAAACATTTCACAGTTGATGTTTTATAAAAATGTACAGGACCCCAGACAGAACAACATAGCAATTAAAGCATCATAGTAACCAACACATTCACAGTGTGATTTTTCAGTGTATTTTTTTCATCCACATCAAAAGTAGGCTTAAATATAATTATTTTCTCACAACCACATCAGCTGACATTTCAACTCCATGATCCACATTTTGTAACCACTGTTTTTAAGTGTCTCCATGTAAAAGAAGTGGCCATTACCATAACAATCAATATGTCAATCAACATGAAGTTTGTTCACATAACTTTAAATTAAAATCAATGTTGTATCTTCACATTGCAACAGAAACATTTTCCTTCGGAATATATTTTTTTTCATATGGTAGAGAACTTTGCCATATATCAAAAACAAGTATAATAAAAACTTGATTATGTGTTATAAATTGTTATAAGTGAATGCTATATTATTGCAGGAGACTTGGAATAATACAAAAAAAATCTATTTAAGGTTGGACTTTGTAGTAAATATGTGTATATACAGTAAATTCTTTGTAAACAATTCTTTGAAACCATATATATGGTAAATTTTTGAAAAGCATTTCTTTGAAATAACAATTTTTCAAAACATACATTCACAAGCATTACATGTTCACTACATAATTAGCACTACATATTTTCACATACCACACTGGCTGTATAATGGTTGTTTCATTTTAATTCCTGTAAGAGCAGAAACATGAAACTAAAGTCACAATGGAGGTCAAGCAATAACACCCTGGAATGTCAATGACCTTGACCTCACAACAGCTGAGCAAGTGAACCATTGGCAGTGTTCTTTGATGTACCGGTCATAGTATGACACTTGTGATACTTTGATGCACTGTTCAAATGCAAAGAAAAAAGATCCCTGACTAAGGTGCAGTTTCACAGAAATGAAAATTGTTTTGATGTGTTGATCTCTGCCATCACTGCTGAGTGTTGGATAATCTGAAATGTTCAGAGAAGTGTTTGAAATTGCCAACTGACCATTAGTCACTGTATATGAACAGTCCTGTGAAGTGGTTGTACACAGTGCATTGTGTGTGTGTGTGTACAATATTGAAAAAGGTATTAAAATTGTATTGCAAACTGGTTTCCACTAAATGTTAAATTTTGTTGAGAGAGAGAAAGGCAGATCTAAGTTAGAGTTGTTGAATGGATATATATATTTGTTAAAGACAAACAAGTGAAGAAAAAAGTCTACTGGAAATGTGAACAATTAAAAAAAAATGCAAAGGTTACGTGATAACAATTGGTGATAATGTTAGTTGAGAGTATTGTGAGCACAACCATTTTGGCAATGCTACTGGCATTGAAGCTAAGAATGTAATGCACAGCATGCAAAAATGATCCAAAGAATACACATGATGCACTGCATCCTTTGGACTCAGCCAAACTATGGCAGCTATGTTGCCATCAGTAGACAGCATAAAAAAAATATTTGCAATTCGCTTGGGAAACAAAATATATGGTTAGTTACTCCAAATTATCAAAAATATATTCTTTTTTCAGAATAGTACACTACAACTGGAAATGAGGAACAGTTTTTTAATGTTTGACTCTGGTGCGACAAAGGATCGAATATTGATCTTTTGCACAAGAAGGAACCTAAAGTTACTGGTAAGTTATGATCATTTGTATACTGATTTAAGACCATTCCGAATATTTTTGAACAATTATATACAATTCACGGGCATCAAGGATGCATAGCTGTCCATTTAATTTATGCATTGTTGCTGAATAAAAATGAAGGTAGGTATATTAGACTTGTTAGAGAGATAAAGGAGTTATTATCTGCCTTAAATCCCATATCTATACAAACCTGCAATGATAAATGAAATTAACATTGAATTTCCACATACAGTTAATCATGGGTGCTTTTTCCATTTTTGTCAGTGTATTTATTGTAAAATTAGTGAAAATGGCCTTAAGCAAAGATACGACACAGATGCAGAGTTTGCTTTAAAGATTTGCATGCTCTCTTCACCAGCATTTATTCCTACAGACCACATTGAAGAGATGTTCAAATTTCTTATTGATGACAACAAACCCGAAGCTCAACCTATGGTTGATTATTTTAAGGATGCTTGGATTGGACGTCCTGATTGAAGACAATGCTTGCAACCACCTGTATTTAAGCATGAGATGTGGAACTGCTACGAAGGAGTGCAACAGGACTTACCAAAATAATTCTATAGAAGGATGGTATCGTGGTTTTTTGCAACAAAACAAGTTTCTGAAACCATCCAAATATGTGGAAGTTAATTTCTGCAATAAAGATGGAACAAAGTCTCAACAAGCTAAGTATTGAGCAACTTTTGAGCAGTCAGGAACCTACTATTGGTTGGAAAAAAATATTGTGATGGTACAGAGAGATTAAAAAGACTTTTCAATACATTTCATCAAACAAATAATATGAATGATTACTTGCATGGTTTTGCACATAACATAAAATATAAATTATTACACGGTTAGAATAAATAAATAATATTGGTGTTGTTTAAATATTTTAAATGGTCTGATAAAATTGCCCATTATAATATCAAGATGTAATAATATTCTCCGTTCTCATTAAATATATAATTTTTTACATATGCATGTCTTTTATTGTGTATTAAATAATATTGGTCCATTTCACTTCAAAAGTTCATCACAAAGTAAATTATATGCCTTTTTCAAAAATTTTTCTTAATTTTCTTATAATATGTTAATTTATAAATAAAAATCAATCTAAAAATTGGACAATCAATTAACTCTTTCGATACGGGTCACAGGTGAAAGGCCATATCATCTCGTTTGTTGACTCATTCAAAATTTCATTGAACTACTATTTCATGAATTTATGTCAATAATTTGGTATCAAACTGTAGATTATAATTTGAGTTTTAGAACTATACATTACTCAATTTCTTAATTTAAAACTGACTATTAAAAAAACAGATAATCATCGATTTTTGTGTGTCATGTGGTATGTTGAATGCAGCACAGTTTTCTATCACATAAGGATTTTTTTACAAATTGGTAGGAACAAAAACTATTACTTGGATCAAGTTATTATTTCATTTACCACAATGATCATTTTTTATTATTATGTTTATTAGCAAAAATACAAACAAACTAAAGAAAAGAGAAGAACATTGATGCCAAACAAATAAGCATCCTCGTTCATCCTGATTTTTTGTGAAATCTTTATCTTTTAGTCTCAAAACTACATGTTTTGTAAAAGTGCATATAGCATTTTGTGAAAAATCTGTACATGATGGAGAAAAATGGATATTGTTTTTGGATTCAGCATACAGGAATTACTGTAGAACATGTAAAAAATTTTCAAAACAATAAAACCATCACAGACCTGTGAAATTAGCAATAGTACAGAATAGCATCAAACAATCCAACAAGAAACTAATATGATGTAAAAGGTAAACTAAACACAATATTAATTTAAAATTGACTATTAAAAAAACACCGATAAGCATCGATTTTTGAGTGTCATGTGGCATGTTGAATGCAGCACTGGTTCAAATTAGATGTTTGAAGTCAAACTCTAAGTCTATAGTTTCATATGAATTAGAAACTCAAATTAGAGATATTGATAAGCTAGAATATAAAATGAGACAGTCTTATCTTTTCTATTTGCTAAGATATTGCTCACGTAATAAATAAAACACAGTGGCTCCCCACTCACCTCTTT